CAGTGGTTCTCAACCTGTGGGTCCCTAGATATTTTGTCCTTTATAGAATCATAGAATTGGAGGAGACCTAGTGGGCCATCCAATCCAACTCCCTGCCAAGAAACGAAAATCAACTCCCAGAAACCCTAACAGCTGGTAAAATGGCTGGGATTTCTGGGAATTGTAGGCCAAAACATCTGGGGACCCACAGGTTGAGAACCACTAGTGTAGGTTGTAGTTGTAAAAGCATACTTCATTTGCCCCTCCCCCTCCAATATTCTGCCTGCTTCTCAATCTATCCCACTCTCTTCCTTCCATCCTATGTATTCTGTTTGCACCAGTTTCCTGCACTCGTAGTAAGACTGCAAGAAACTGCTCTAGACATTTTGAAGATAGGTAAAGGTAAAGATTTTGCCCTGACATTAAGTCCAGTTGTGTCTGACTCTGCGGGGTGGTGCTCACCTCCATTTCTAAGCAGAAGAGCCGACGTTGTCCATAGACACCTCCAAAGTCATGTGGCCAGCATGACTGCATGGAGCGCCGTTACCTTCCAGACGGAGAAATCCCTATTGATCTACTTACATTTGCATGTTTTCAAACTGTTAGGTTGGCAGAAGCTGGGGCTCAAAGCAGGAGCTCACCCTGCTCCCTGGATCCGAACCGGCGACCTTTCGGTCAGCAAGTTGAGCAGCTCAGTGATTTAACCCACTGTGCCACCGGGGGCTCCGCCTTAAAAATAGGATTCCACATTTTGATGATTTCCTGTTTTGGTCCCTAACCTTTTGAATAAATGGGGATATCTATCAATATCCTGAGTTCCTTGGTGCAAGACATGATGATACATGAAGACGGTTTCTCTTAGATAACTATTTCACCTTGGTCAAAAGTCCTTTGGGGGTGGGGGATGAAGATAGAGGATGAGAGCTGGGGACATAATAACCTTTGGCAAAAGAAATAACAGGAATTTAAGAAATGAAGGAAATTGCTATTATAGGCTAAAAGAATATAGACATTCAAAAATATAGTGCTTCACTGTTGCTTTATTTTGGGTTCTGTGGAATGCAAGTGGTTTTTTTAAAGGAAGATATAAGGAAACTGAAGAGGAAGAAACATTATTTGAAAACTTAAAAGTTTATTTTTACAGTATGCAAACCAGAAATGGCGGACACAGGCTATGATTTGTTTGATCATTTGCAATTCATAACTTAAGCAACAAGCCAAGGTTAACAACTAACCATGGCCTACTCTGTGTGCATGTCCCACTTGTTGGTGATCATCCAAAGTGCAGAAGTGAAGGATTAAGCAAAATGTCCGTAGGCAATCCACCCAAATGTAGACCAAGGTAATAATTTTCAATATATTTTAAGATCATGGGCTTTGGAAGCAGTGTTTCATAAGTTTATTCCTTTGTTATAATATACGTAGCAAACTTTCCCAAGTTCTTTAGATAGCATGACTTGTAAGTTTTTGAAGCAGTGTTTTACAAGTTTGTTCCTTTGTTATAATATAAAAGCCTTTCCCAAGGCCTTTAGACAGCATGACTTATTTAGAACTCCTTCGTAACACATTCTGTTATATATGATGATATTAAATACTGGTGTTGTCATCTGAGAGAAGCTTGGCTGAAGTAGGAAGGAGTGAAATAAATTTTGGAATCCAATATGTCATTATTTACTTTATTCTTTTGGAAAAAAGGAATTGCTGATGCCCTAAAAAGAGCCAACAATCAGTATGTACCAAAATAAACGTCTCCTTTTAGAAAATGCAGCTGTTTAATTGCACAGTAAAGTATCAATTAGATTGTTTTTAGCATAACTTAGATAATTCTGATTCCCTCACCGATTCCCTCACTATAAATTAATTGCACATTTTTATTCTTTTTACACTTCTTCCCCTGTGAAACTTACCCCAAAGATACAGTTTTGCCATGTTCCCCATAGAGAAAAATATGAATTGTACACTAAAGTGTACTGTAAAAGAGTGCCATCTTAGGGAGCATATCTTCTTATTGCCGAAGACTAGCACCATTTCAGCCAATTTCCCAGACCACTCATGTATTTATTTGCACATTTATATCCCACCCTTCTCAACCCCAAAGGGGACTCAGAGCAGCACACAAAAACACAATTCAATGTCATACATTACATACAATACATATCCAGCAACTAAAAAACATATACATTAAAACATCCACTAAAAAACATATCAACATTAAAATTATTAAATCACATAATCCAGTGTTGTAGTCCAGGCCATTCCAGTTATCATTGTACCATTCTGTGTTCACATATTGCACTTCATCCAAACGCTTGGTCCCAGATTCAAGTTTTCATTTTTTTCCTAAAGGTCAGGAGTGAGGGGGCTAATGTGATGTCACTAAGGAGGGAGTTCCACAGCAGAGGGGCCACCACTGAGAAGGCACTGTCTCTCATCCCCACCAGCTGCACCTGCGAAAGAGGTGGGACTGAGAGCAGGGCATCCCCAGAAGATTGTAATCTGCGACATGGTTGATAGAGAGAGATGCATTTGGATAGGTAAACTGGGCCTGGAACTGTTTGGGGCTTTATAGGCTAAAGCCAGCACTTTGAATTGTGCTTGGTTATTTATTTATTTAGTGTGTAAGTAGCGAACCAAACAGTTGTATTGCATTAAAAAAACAAACAAACAAAACACAAAGTTTGCAAACTTGGCATTCTGTTAAGTGTCCTTTGATCAGTAGCTGGCCACTTGGAGTGCCCCTGGTGTTGCTATAAGAAGGTCCTCCATTGTGCATGTAGCAAGGCTCAGGTTGCATTGCAGTAGGTGGTCTGTGGTTTGCTCTTCTCCACACTCGCATGTCGTGGATTCCACTTTGTAGCCCCATTTCTTAAGGTTGGCTCTGCATCTTGTGGTGCCAGAGCGCAGTCTGTTCAGCGCCTTCCAAGTTGCCCAGTTTTCTATGTGCCCAGGAGGCAGTCTCTCATTTGGTATCAGCCATGGATTGAGGTTCTGGGTTTTAGCCTGCCACTTTTGGACACTTGCTTGCTGAGGTGTTTCAGCAAGTGTCCCTGTAGATCTTAGAAAACTATTTCTTGATTTAAGTTGTTGGTGTTCTGACTGATATCCAAACAGGGGATGGACTTGAGATGTCACTGCCTTGGTCCTTTCACTACTTCCCAACAGATATCAGGTGCTGCAATACCGACTAAACAGTGTAAATATTGTGCTCAGTAGCAGACTGGCAGCCAGTGGAGCTGACATAACAGGGGGGTTGTATGATGTAGTCACACTATTTACAAGTGAGGAATAAGCTGTGTTTCCAGTTCATATTAACTGAATCATCAGTATACAGCTGAGAGAATCTTCACATGAATAAGCCTTGAGATGATCTCAATTCTGTAGTAGTGTCTTGATTTTGTGTTTTATTTATCTTCTCTGTGACGTGATCTTAACCATGCTGGTTTCCCAATGTTTAATTAGTAATTCCTGTTCCAGTTCAGTGCTTGTATTTTCTGTAAAGCTTTGGATCCTAAGTTACCTTACTCATGGGTGGACCTTTCTCTTAAGGTGTTCCTGCTGGCAGAAGGAAAAAAAGTCAGTCCTTTTCAAGATTCCTCTACAGCAGTGTTTTTCAAACTGTACTCCAGGTGTTTTGGACTTTAGCTCCCAGAAATCCCAGCTACCTTACCAGCTGTTAGGAATTGTGGGAGCTGAAGTCCAAAACATCTGGAGGAACACAGTTTGAGAAACAGTGTTCTGTCATCACGTCCATCATCTTGCACCTTTTACATATAGTTGATAGCTCTTAATTGCCATTAATGATATGTGATTTAAAATAAGTGGTTTTAAGGTTTGATATATTTTAATGATTGTTTTAATATACATGTTTATTTTACTGTGTATGCTGATAAACTCTACAAGCTAGTTGGCATTGTTACCTCCCCACCCCGGATGTGCAACGGAAAGTTGCTGCCAACTGGGAGAGAAATAAGGTTGAACATTGTGAAAGCCACCCACTGCATGGCTATCAGCCTCCTCCCAGTAGACTCAAATCAAGGAAAGCTTCATGAGAACCACTCTCCTCTTAATGTTCCCCCAACAATAGTAAGAGTGTCCCTCTGGGCAGCTAAACCAGGAAATCCCAATTGGATGGCCCCCACAAGGGTCTTCCTCCAGGGGCAAACTAAGAATGGTCAACTTGGAAGTCCCCGAACAGACTCAGAAGTGGAGTGGGCAGATCAAAAGACAACCTGGCAAGATGGCAATACCTAAAAGAATCCTCCACCTTGTGTGACTGCGGAGCAGAACAAACAACTCCGCATCTGTATGCTTGTCCACAGTGCCCTGCCTCATGTACAGAGGAGGATTGGTTACAGATAATGTGGTCACTGTTGCCAGTTTTGGTGAAAAAACATTTAGTCGCTTGTGCTCCTTCTGTTTTTATCAGTTTCATACTTATTTATGCAATGCTTTTGATATAAAATCAATAAAAATAAATAAACTATGTATGTTCATATGGCATTGAATTGATGCCTATATATGTAAGCTGTCTTGAGTCCCCAATGGGGTGAGAAGGGCGGGGTATAAATATGGTTAATTAATTAATTAATTATATTGGAACTGAGAAAACTGTGTCTTGTGTAAACATTATTCACCAAGTTTAAATTCAGTGGCACCATGCATCAGGATGAATGTGGGAAGGAAAGATTGTGCGAGTCTGAAGCTTCCATCTGCTCATGTGTGTAACACATGATATCCAAACACCGTATCTACATTCTGAAGCCTTACAATATACTGTGAGCATTCTTTCATTTTTGACCTTTACAATACGGTTGATTTCCACCAGCATCACTGCTTCTTACTACTAGCATTGTTACTATGTCTATGCAATTATTATCAATGTTTGTGTTACTTTCTCAGTTTGTCTTCCATCTCACATTGTCGAAATAATCTGATATTACTCTTCCCTCTTTTTTTAAAAAAAAATGTGTACAGTACTACATGAATTACCTTGATTTTTATCTATAAATATTGTTTTTCAGATTTTGACTTGAACTACTTCTGGCACTGGAACAAGTTTACAGATTATGTGCAGTGTGTCTTGGCTTTCACTGGAGTAACAGGATACATCACTTACCTTTCTCTTGACTCAGTGGTCTTTGTTGAAACTCTTGGCTTCCTTGCTGTATTCACTGAAGCCATGCTGGGTGTCCCACAGCTCTATCGAAACTACCAGAATAGGTCGACTGAAGGAATGAGGTAAGATTCTGTTTATGTATAATTGCAGATAGGCGTTTGGCTCTTTCTTAGCACTTAGTGTTCCTTCAGCAATAATTCCAAAATTACTTTGATTGAAAAATAAAAATAAAACTATTGTTCTGGCACAACTCCAGCATTTTGGTGGAAATAGTAACATCACATGCAAGGCATTGGAAATGAAGAAATTCATTTTTCTCTAGAGGAAATCATACTGTGGATAAGCTAAAATAATGTACAGTCGACTCTCCATATCTATCAGTTATGCATCCACAGATTCAACCTCCATGGCTTGAATTTTAAAACAAAAACAGATATTACTTCAAAGGCAGACATTTGGACCTGCCTTGTTCTATAGAGTCAACCTTTTCTCTTATTCTGATTATATCAGATGATTTGTCTGGTGAGCTGTTCATACCCAAATACCTGGTGCCGAGGATGTACTTTCTCACAACCAATAATGGTTGTTGAGTTGTTTTTGAAAAGTAACAGAGAGAGGAATGTCAGCGGTTGGGACGGTGGCAAATGTGTGGGATTGAATGATGGCACTTATTTATACTGAAAGTGTATTATTTTGGAAAATGTGAATCTCCATAACCATTTGGGAAATGGGATTCACAACCTTTTTGAAAAACTACTGATCCAGGAAAGGCATGACCTTGTTAGAAGTCACAACCCTTTGAAAAATGATGTTCACCAACATTCATGTAAGGCAACTTGGTGTCTTAGCTGTCAAACTGATGTACCTAAGTATCTTTGAACTGCTAGGGACAAAGACATGCTAATGCACAAAAACATATATTCAGCAGAGTTTCAGAAGTGTTCTTTTTAGTTGCCCAAAAACATCTACTCTTCCTTAAAATATATTTGCATTTAAATCATGCTCTTAAGACACAAAAATAAGTGGACTTCTTTAAAAGTAACACAGTTGGTTTACTCACAAACTTCATGTATTCAGCATATAGGTACTTTGCTTATCAATCCAGTTACAAATAGATTTGAAGTAGATTAGAGAAGGTTTCTATTTCGAACATATTCTGCATTCCCCACATGAATTGGGAATAAAATAGGAGGATTACGGAAAATGAATAAAAACATCGCTAAGATAAAACACAATTCAGAAACCACCAAAAGAAAGGACACACACACACAAAAGGAAAGCCCCACGTCAAGGCAGTTGCAAGCCTGTTCTTCAGCAAGTGAGATCAGTTGCCAAATGTATGTCTGAATGAAAAGATCTTTGTGCCTTTATGTGTGGATGTATGATTTCTTTTATATGTTGTGTCATATAGTTTGGAATTCTGCGACAACCGAGCACACTGATCTCCTGAGATTTTGTGTGTCTTTTAGGACACAAAATAAGGTTCTGGATATATCCATGAATTTGCAAAGGTAATGTGTGGTAACATTTCACAAGTATAGGTGGAAGTGATGGAGCTGGTTGAGTCTTCCAATGCCTTGCATTAGAGAACATAAGAAATAAATGTTACAGAAAATAAGGATAGCTTATGTATGTTGCAAAATTATGTTTTGGCAATGTCTTCTCCCCTACCCCAGTACACACACATACACACACACACACACACACACACACACACACACACACACACACCAGTTTATTATAATTATAACATAGAATAAGCAGAATACATGAAGAACTTTACAATGTGAAGCTCTGTATTTCATCATTATTTCAAAGTCATTGGTGAAAGATCTATAGAAAAGTCTTCCATTTTTCTGCTCACAACTGATACTGATTCATCTTATCTCTGTCTGTGGTACTTTAAAAATGCAGATAAATGCATGGCTTCAAGAAGAATTGCATGACTGCCTGTATAAAATAATTTTATGTCTCTTAATTATTTAAATTTGAAACAGAAAAAAATGTGTAGGAGTGTGAGAGTATTGCTTTGACGTTCACCAATTACTTGGATGATGAGCATCATTTTTCCTTTCTGGGCATCATCTGGTTAGAATGCCCAGGCTAGAGAAGCATAAAAATCATATGCAGACTGTCCCTCTTTGTGGTGGTTGCATTTGTCTCTTTTACTGCAAGTACATAGGTAAAGGTAAAGGTAGTCCCCTGACATTGAGTCCAGTCATGTCTGACTCTGGGGTGTGGTGCTCATCTCCATTTCTAAGCCGAAGAGCCAGCGTTGTCTGTAGACACCTCCAAGGTCATGTGGCCGGCATGACTGCATGGAGCGCCGTTACCTTCCCGCCGGAGCCGTACCTATTAATCTACTCACATTTGCATGTTTTCGAACTGCTAGGTTGGCAGAAGCTAGGGCTGACAGCGGAAGCTCACGCTGCTCCCCGGAATCGAACCTGCGACCTTTCGATCAACAAGCTCAGCAGCTCAGTGCTTTAACCCACTGCGCCACCGGGGGCTCCTATATCCAGGAAAAATACAGTTAGTTACTTTCACACTGCCAAATAGATTTGTATATGATGGTCCTACTTCACATGCTGTCTGTATTACTTCATTGGTGTTTTTCAAATGTCACGTTTGAAACAGCCCAAGTAACTTAGACAAGACTTTTGACCAGGCTCAAAATATTGTGATGCATTGTGTGCATCACTTGTGGGCATGCCAGCTTCTATCTGATTGTTACATATGGGACTGTTTGTTTAAAGAAAATATTTTTCTGCAAGTGTTTCTTTCCTTCCTGTGCTTTATTTTAAGACATTTTTGTTACTCATTTAGACTTTTTTGCCTGTCAGAGAGCAGTTTCTGAAGCGACATCTTAAGCTTATCCCTCTGCTCTCTGCCATTGATGCCTACGGCAGTTTTTAAACGAATTCAGAAGCCTTAGTGGCACTGACTGAGTCGCATGTTTCTCTCCTAAGCATTTCATTTTGCATCCACACACAATATCTATAGCATGTGGAGGAGTGATTTTTTTCCTGTCAGTTCTTTATCAAGTTGGTGCTAATTTGGGTTTTGGCTTTTGCTTTCATGTTTTCCACAGTCTTCAATTATGCCTTTCCGCCATTCCAGTGTTTGGAACCTCGTGCTTTTTCTCTCTCTTAATAACACTGTTGGGACCTCAGTAACACCCTTTCAGTTTTCCACATGCATTATTAAATAAAAACACAGTAAAATTCTCTTTGCCAACTTGCTTCTTTATGCAGTACAAAAACATAAGGATACAAAATTAATATTTTAAAGTGAACTTCTAGTAGAAGCAAAAGTATCTCATCTCGCTGAATTATGTTAGTTGTAAAATACTGTAAGAAAAGAACTTTGGCTTGAGAGCTGTTTGCAATATGTTCTAATATGGCTTCATATATTTTCCAAAAATAAAAATAGTGTTTTCTATTTTTTAAATTTATTCACAATGGACCTAGTTCATCCAGGTAGCAGAAGTTTTCCAGGTTAGGTCCTACTCAACTTCTTCCAGTAGTTCAAAATCTCTTTGAGCTGAGGACAACTGTCTCCTCTCCCTTCCTTTCATATTGAATGGATTTACATACAAAGGGGACTGTGAATTCACCTTCATCAGCTCAGCACGAACAGAAGCCGCTGGCTAACCTTGTCATGAACTAAGATTCTTCTGTAAAACTTACAATGGATGCTGACAGGTTTTGCTCAATACAAAAATGCCTGAGGCTCAAGCGTGGTGTTACAGACTGGTTACCCCAGGTAGCCCAAGAGCCCTTTTAGAAAAGGGAAAGTGACATATTGGTTGTGATAAAAGCAAGAAAGCAACATGTTGTCCATCTGGTTTGCAATTTTCACCTCCAACTGGTCATCCAGCATGATTGACACTTCCCCTTTCTGTATCAAATGTGCATGTATTTATGTGGCCGGCATGACTGCATGGAGCGCCGTTACCTTCCCGCCGGAGCGGTACCTATTGATCTACTCAATTATTATAGGATGTTCTATAGCTTGAAAAGTCTGACACAGAAAGAAAGAAAGAAAGAAAGAAAGAAAGAGAAAATGAGATATTTTCTATAAATTAGAAAATGTAATTATTCTTGATTATTTTGGCAGCAACCAATTTTGGAACCAAGTTCCCTTGAAATCTTATAGGTGGCCAGTTCACCTATAGTTGTCAGAGAATTCCTAATGTATATGACAACAGCAATAAGAGAATAGATAGATAAATAGAGCATCAACTGTTTAAGACATTGATACTTATAGGGTTTTTTTGTGTCAGGAGCAACTTGAGAAACTGCAAGTCACTTCTGATGTGAGAGATTTGGCCATCTGCAAGGACATTGCCTGGGGACGCCCAGATGTTTAACATCCTGTGGGAAGCTTCTCTCATGTCCCCACATGAGAAGCTGGGGCTGACAGATGGGAGCTCACCCCAATCCCCAGATTCCAACTGCCAGTCTTTTGGTCAACAGTCCTGCTGGTACAAGGGTTTTACCCATTTGCCACGGGGGGCTCCTGATACTTATAGTGACACCTGAGAAGACTGCCAAGACAATTTAGATAGTCCCCATCGTTTAGAAAGTTATCTCAATATCTGTTAAATGAAACCTTAGTTGCTATAAGCTTATTCTACCCCATCTATGTTGCAGTTGCTATGTAAGAGCAGCTCTCTTTGGTTGTAGAATATGTTCAGAGCAGAGAATTTAGGCAGTGAACATTGAATTCTATTAATGACCATCTAATCTTGGCTGGAAGTTCTAGCTGTCCCAGAATAGCACATTAGCACAATCTGTTAAGGGAAGAATTACTTAATTTTTATTCAGTTCAGGACTCCAGTAAGTCACCAGTCGTTTCTTATTATAAATGAGTATTTTAATAGAAGCTAATTGTTTTATAAAGAAGAATTCAATTTATGATTAATGATTAGACTATGTTTAATTTCTTCAACATCATCTGATTAAAAGAGCCAGGGAAGAAATGTGTCAGTTTCAGAGTTCTGCCATGTTAACAGATTGCAAGACTTGTGGCATCTGAAAAAGGGAATATATAGCCCAAAGTTGAGTGTCCCCTTCAAAGTGTCCTTCTTGCATTAAATCCTCTTCATCTTTAATTCCTT